TCCTGCCCGCCACCGCCCCATCGGTGTCGGTGAGCTCGGAGCGCCGGTGCCGTGGGAAGGGGGAGCACCCACCGGTGGTTTGGCTCCGCTGCCGCCCAGCGCTGCTGATGCTTTTCTTCCCCTTCCCCTTTCTTATGTGCACCCCCTCGTAACCTGCTTGTGGCCGGTGATTTTCCCACTGTTCTCTAGGAGGTGCAAACCAGAGAGAGGGCTTTAGCACCTACTCCTACACCGTCTCCTGCACGGAGACCTGCCACTTGTGTGGGGTCCTTCAGAGCTGCTCCTCCACAAACACATAAGTCCATCCCCAAACCATCCAGCTGGGGGTTATTACCTTTAAGTGCGGTGAACAAAAGAGCTGGTGTCGGTTGAGGATGTGATTCCAAAGGCCAGAAGTGATGCTTTGGAAAGAGCTGCAAAAGAAATGAACAGGAAAGAATTAAATCCCAGCACGGTGCCAGCACCTGGCATTGTGAAACTGGGAAGTGTGGTTGAGTCTGACCTGTGTTGGTCAGAGCAACTTGGAGTGACTGTTTCAGAACTTGGTTACATGACCATGAGTTATGACCAGAACTGGACCAAGAGGTATTTTGGCACTTGAAATATTTGCGTTTTAATGTGTTTTACAGAGTGTTGTCAAATATGCCCTGGAACGGTGCTACTGGTTGGAAGCAGCCTAATAGGGTACTTACATACTAAATTCTCTTGAGAAATCATGTAGGATATTTACACTGGGGTGTTTTTTAACTACAGCTTGCTCAAAGCTGGGGTCCTCTGGATTTTATATTTGTGAAAGCATCTAGTAAAGGAAAGAATGCTTAAAAGCAACTAAATGCCTTTTTCTTTCCTCCCTCAGTTGCTCTGGTTTTGGGCTGCCTTTCAGGATTTGATAGATTCCCAGCAGAAGGGACACCAGGGAACTGCTGGGGTTGTTTCTGCCAGAGTTCTAGAGAGAGAAACTTCTGGATGAGATGCTTCAGAGTGATGTTTCTGGATTTCAAACATTTATTAAATATAGAATGTATTGGGAGAAACAAACACTTGCAGCACTGCCTGAAATTGTGGTTTTTGAGGCATCGTGTTTCTTAAGTTTCCTTCCCTCTTATTTTCAGATCAAAAATGTTCAAAACAGGAAGTTTGACTTGTGTTTTGTAAGCCCTTCCCCAGCTTTGTCGTACCTCGGGCAGCTGTTGGCCTTGGTAGAACCTCAGCTCTATGATTCAGCATCACTTCATCGATTGCAGCTCTTCTTGGAAGGTTGTTATTTCTAACGTTAAATGTTTCCTCCCTTTTCCTTTCGTAACAGCCATGGCAATGACGGGCTCCACACCGTGCTCCTCCATGAGTAACCACACCAAGGAGCGAGTTACAATGACAAAGGTGACGTTGGAAAACTTCTACAGCAACCTCATTGCGCAGCACGAAGAGCGAGAGATGAGGTAAAAATCTTCCTTTCCAAACTGGTTCAGAGCCAAAAATACACATCAACTGCATTTAGATTTCTGGAGTCAAAGCAAAAATAGGGTTTTTTTTTTTTGCTGAGCGTGTGCCTGGGCACCTGGATGGGATTGGTGTGAGTATCTGGTGCTGCTGGGTCTCTGTGTCCCATGGGAATTTAGGCTGGAGCTGTTTGAATTTCTCCTGAAACATGCACGTGCAAAAGCGATGTGGCACTTAGCAATTTAGAAACCCATATTTTGGATGATATGACTAAGTAGAAACTAACTTTAGGATGTGCTTGGGATCATTCAAGTACAACTCTGAAGTAAAGCCAGTGTTCACAAGTGTTTATCTTGCCCCTGTTCTGCTGCCTCTTCCCATTTTATGTCCCTAGTTGTAGCATTTAAAGCTCAATCTAGAGCATCACATTCAGTCTGGATTATAATGTGTCATCAAGGTGGCCGATCTAGGAAGTTAATCTTTTACAGAGGGATTGCTGTAAGGACTAAATGCTGATGTGTCTGTGACTTGACTGAATGTATGGCCCCAGAATGTGAGCAGCAGGTTGAGGGAGGGGATCCTGCCCCTCTGCTGTGCTCTGGGGAGAACCCCCCCTGCAGCCCTGATCCAGCTCTGGGGCAACTGCACAAGAGGGACGTGGAGCTGCTGGAGCGAGGCCAGAGGAGGCCCCGGAGCTGCTGCGAGGGCTGGAGCAGCTCTGCTCTGGAGCCAGGCTGAGAGAGCTGGGCTGGGGCGGCTGGAGAAGAGAAGGCTCCTGAAGGGGACACCTTAGAGCAGCTCCAGTGCCTAAAGGGGCTCCAGGAAACCTGGAGAGGGGCTTTGGACAAGGGATGGAGGGACAGGCCAAGGGGAATGGCTTTAACCTGCCAGAGGGGAGATTGAGATGAGCTCTGAGGCAGAAGCTCTTCCCTGGGAGGGTGCTGAGGCGCTGGCACAGGGTGCCCAGAGAAGCTGTGGCTGCCCCATCCCTGGCAGTGTTCAAGGCCAGGTTGGACACAGGGGCTTGGAGCAACCTGCTCTAGTGGAAGGTGCCCCTGCCTGTGGCAGGGGGTTGGAAGTGGAGGAGCTTTAAGCTCCCTTTAACCCAAACCAGTCTGTGATGTCTTTAAATATATCAGTCAAGTATAGCACGTGATTTAACTGAGAAGCGTTACTTCTACTTTCCTTTGGCTGGAACCCTCTAATTTGCTGAATACCCTCCAGTTGTAGCACTGGGACTTCCGATACTTGCTGTGTAGTCTGTAATCAGAATTTTGAAGAAGGTTTAGTGTTCATTCACTTGCTGACTTGCTGCCAAAGGCCTGGCTAGATCCAAGAGGAATGCCTGCAAACTACAATAACGGCAGAGATGAGGAAGCAATTTAGCAATAAATACTAACTTGCATAGATATTTTCTTCAAAACTTTGAATTAGTAAGGAGAGATTGAGGTCTAATCCAAACAGCAAACATCACTGATTTAATTCCTTTCTTTCTTTTTGCAAAGCTCTTTCCTGCTTTTTATTATGAGCTCTATTGTCAACTCCCAAAAACTCACCATCAGGGTATTCTCTGTTTAGGATCAAGACTTTGAACAAACATACTGGAGGACAGGCTGAGAAAGTTGGGGCTGTTCAGCCTGGAGAAGAGAAGCTGTGTGGAGACCTCAGAGCAGCTTCCAGTGTCTGAAGGGGGCTACAAAGATGCTGGAGAGGGACTCCTCATTAGGGACTATAGTGAGAGGACAAGGGGTGATGGGTTTAAACTGAAACAGGGGAAGTTCAGGTTAGCTGTTAGGCAGAAGTTCTTTACTGTGGGGGTGCTGAGGCGCTGGCACAGGTTGCCCAAAGAGTTTGTGAATGCTCCATTCCCGGCAGTGTTCAAGACCAGACTGCTCGCAGTCTTGGGTGATGTGGTGTAGTGTGTGGTGTCCTTGCCCATGGCAGGGGGTTGGAACTAGATGATTTAAGGTCCTTTCCAACCCAAACCATATTATGATTCTGTGACTTTAAGTTACTTGGGAGTTTTTAGCAATAGTTGTGTCTGTGGATGTTTAGTGGGAGTTTGAAGTGGTGCTGACAAAATCCATGCTGAAGTGCAGATAGGACCTTTTAAGGATATTTGGGGGCATTTCAGCATCAGTCAGTCACACTGAGCTATTTAATTCTGCTTTAGTTCAGTTGTCTTTTGCTTCTGGAGTTGCTGTTTTGAGTGTGGAATGACTGAGCTCTCTGGGTGCTTAAAGAAGACCAGAGCCATTTAAATGGGCCTGATTGTGGATGTGATAACCCCAAATATTATCACATTGCAGCAGCTGCGTGGTGGCACAGGAGACAGGAAGAGGATCTTCTTGCAAAGAATGACTTGCATAAAGAGAAGGAATTTTTGAGTACATTTGTAATGTTATACCAATAAAACACACATGGAGAGGGAAAAGAAACCAAACAGCAGTCCCAGTTCAGCCAGTTATTAATATGATTGCTGTTGGGAAGAAGTTCCCAGGGGGTGATGGTTACAAATGTCCCCTGAATCCATTCCTCTCTCTGAAGGCTTGCTTCCTTTTCTTCTTTTCTGCCAAATAATCACTTTGTATTAAGGCTGTAAATATTCCTGATTCTTTAAGGGGCACAATGTGCACAGACATGTTCACTCTTCCCAAATGTCCTGCTTTTCTCTTACGAAATACAAACTAACGTCTCATTTTGCATCTGATGAGTTTGAGATGCAGAGAAATTGCAGACCCGCGTATGTGTTTAAATAGCCAATTCTCCCTGGAATAAGTGAGACTTTTTGGTGTTTAAAGATTTATTATGGCTCTGGCCTTAAGTGACTTGCCCAGCTGTCAAAGAGAGACAGGAATTGAACCCAGATCTTGATCTACGTTCGTATACAATGAAAATACATACTTGAATAAACTGTGAAACTTGAGGTGGGTTTAGATTGTCAAAATTAGAGAGGACAAGGCTGGGATGGTAAAGATTCTTCAAGATTAATCTCATGTTTAAGTCTCCCTTATATATCTTTTACACTTGGTACTTGCTGGCATTTGCTTTCCCAGCAAGCATAGACCAGACGTGTTGGATATGTGAATGTGATGCAAGAAACAACAATGTCTTTCTAACTTGTCTCTAGACAAAAGAAGCTAGAACAAATGATGGAAGAAGAAGGCTTAAAAGATGAAGAGGTAATGAATATGGGAAAACTATCTTAATGGTTAAATACAAGTGATTTTCTTTCATAACTGGAGATCTGGGATCTTGGGATCTCTGTCACCTCTATGGAGCCCACCTGCAGAGTTCTCACTGTGGTTTGTTCTTTTCCTAAACTCCAGAAAAGAATCAGGAGATCAGCACATGCACAAAAGGAAACAGAGTTTCTTCGCTTAAAGAGGACAAGGCTTGGCTTGGAAGACTTTGAGTCTTTAAAAGTCATAGGCAGAGGAGCATTTGGAGAGGTGAGTCCAGAAAAGATGACTAACCTTATTTCTGAATGACACTGGTATTTGTTAAAGACTTGCAAATGGAAGATAAATGTAACAACCACAGATTGATTTTTAGCTTAGCAGTCATGTGCATCTGTCTTTATGCTTGATAAATGCTGTTTTAAAACCAGTATGTGCTTTAAAGGAACTTGAATGCTGTTAAGAAGGACTTGGTAGGTAAGCGAAATACAGGCTTGGCAATTTACCTACACTGTGGCCTCCTGGGCTGGCCTTGGAGATGGGGAGGGCTGGAGAACCACCTGCAGTAGCATCTTCTGGTGGCCTTCTTCAGTGAAAGAGGCTTTGGACCATCTGCTGTAGGTGTCCAATTGCTCAATGTGTCATCTCTGTTAAAGAGATTTCATCTCTTACACTTGTTTGCCATTACTGTGCAGTGTGTTAATGGATTTTGGCTGTTACCTGATATGATTTCATTAACTGAAAGCCAAGGGCTTGATACCCAAATTTGTCCAGAGCTCTGGTGACAATGCTGTGTCTGATTCAACCTCTTGCATGTTTCCAGGTGCGGCTTGTCCAGAAGAAGGACACGGGGCACGTTTATGCAATGAAGATACTACGGAAAGCTGATATGCTTGAGAAAGAGCAGGTGAGTGGCCACCTTGAGCAGCAGCGCTGCCATCGTGTTTCGCATGACTTTGGGAGGTCACTGTGATGTGTGGAGAGAGGTAACAGGCATCTGTGGTTTAGGTTTATTAGCTAAAAGATGGTATTGTGGGTTTTTTCCCCTTTCTTATGGAGCAGTGATGTCTAATGCCTTGCTTAGTTGTAATGGAAATTGCAGTTGTGACCTCTTTTCCAAGAGGTTCTTCAGTCTGAAGTGAAGTGGGGCTGAGCACACTTTCTGCTTGAAACCCAAGGAAAGACAAAGGACTAGGTTTGTCTTTCTCCAGTGAAAGAGATGGACAGTTCTATGTGTCTGATACATGTTCCTCCTCCTCGTTTTATGACAATGTGTTACACATACACACATGCAAATGATTCAGTATAGACTCCAAGATGGGTGTGTTACTGCATTTATGATTTATGGAATTGGATAGAAACATCAAAGTGATATGGTTGCTGGAATTCTAACTCGGAGTGACATAATGTAGCACTGTTAGTATTTTTAAGGCTTTCCTCTGCTAGTACTTCTGGGCAGAGAAGGCTCCTTAAGGGGAGACCTTAGAACAGTTCCAGTGCCTAAAGGGGCTCCAGGAAACCTGGAGAGGGGCTTTGGACAAGGGATGGAGGGACAGGACAAGGGGAATGGCTTTAACCTGCCAGAGGGGAGATTGAGATGAGCTCTTGGGCAGAAGCTGTTCCCTGTGAGGGTGCTGAGGCGCTGGCACAGGGTGCCCAGAGGAGCTGTGGCTGCCCCATCCCTGGCAGTGTTCAAGGCCAGGCTGGACACAGGGGCTTGGAGTAACCTGCTCTAGTGGAAGGTGTCCCTGCCCGTGGCAGGGGTTGGAGCTGGAGGAGCTTTAAGGTCACTTCCAAACTATTATATGATTTATTTCATAGACTAATATGTAATAAAACAAAGGTTTGTGATTAATCAAACCCATATGTGTATCTCCAGGTTGGCCATATTCGTGCAGAGCGGGACATTCTGGTGGAGGCTGACAGTCTGTGGGTTGTGAAAATGTTCTATAGTTTCCAGGACAAGCTAAACCTCTACCTTATCATGGAGTTCCTGCCTGGAGGTAACTGCCTGGAAGCCACAAGCTGCTTTCCTTTCATTTGGGGGTTTCTAATCTGTTAATAACAAATGTAGTCTGGGACTAGAGCATATGTGGTTACCATGCAGGGGTGTTACTTTGTGAGGAAACAAGTCATTGTAAAGCTTTCTGCTTTTAGGAGTTGGGGGCCTGAGGTCTTTGGCTCAGGCTTGTGTCTTCTAGCTGGAGATCACTGAAATTGGCCTTAATACTCTGTGAGTTCTTAACCTTCCTGCACGCTCGCTATGGATAGAACCATGACACAACCAGGTTTTGATTTTCCAACCTTTTGCTTTTAGCTGCCTTGCAGCAGAAATAGCTTTTATGGTCCTTTTTCAGAGGATGATGATGATGTTTGTCGTTCATTGTCAATGCTACTGTAACTCAAGAAGTTACTTATACGGAAAGCCTCTAATAGGAGACTAATGAAAGCACAGGAATGCTTTCTGAGCTGCACAGATGCAATCTGTTTTCTGTAACAGCTCTGTAGCTGAAAGCATCTATTTTAATCTGTGATTCAGGTGTGTAATGAGGAGAGCAGCCTAAAGCTGACTCTTGTTTCAGGGATGCTTCTGTACTGCTGTTTCATCTTTATGCTATTTGGCTGAGTTGGTAAGTTTAAGGCAGCTACGATAGAAGCCTTTCCACATATAGTGATACAAGAGAGACATTGAGGTGCTGGAGCGGGGCCAGAGAAGGGCACCAGAGCTGGTGCAGGGCCTGGAGCACAAGTGTGATGGGGAAGGGCTGAGGGACCTGGGGGGTTTAGTGTGGAGAAGAGAAGGCTCAGGGGGGACCTGATCGCTCTCTGCAACTGCCTGACAGGAGGATGGAGCCAGGAGGGGGCTGGTCTCTGCTCCCAAGGAACAAGGGATGGGACAAGAGGAAACGGCCTCAAGCTGCCCCAGGGCAGGTTTAGCTGGAGCTGAGGAACAATTCCTTGCCCAGAGGGTGCTCAGGCATTGGAACAGGCTGCCCAGGGCAGGGCTGGAGTCACCGTCCCTGCAAGTGTTCACAGCCCGTGTAGCCGAGGCCTCAGTGCCAGGGGTTAGTGGTGGCCTTGGCAGTGCTGGAGAAGGGTTGGACTGGATGAACTTAAAGGTCTTTTCCAGCCTGGAAATGGGAGAACACCAAAGTTTGTCACAGAGGTGCCGGGGAACTCTATTATTTTGTATGAAACCAGTTTGGATTTTCTAAGGTTTTAAATACCTTAGTTCTTTTCTCTGTAGATGTCTTCAGTATTAGTAAGAGTGGAGTTTCTGTGTTCACTTTTCCTGTTTGTGGGGTGGCTTCTAGGTGACATGATGACGCTGTTGATGAAAAAAGACACTCTAACAGAAGAAGAGACCCAGTTCTATATAGCTGAGACTGTGCTGGCCATTGATTCTATTCATCAGCTGGGTTTTATCCATCGGGACATAAAGCCAGACAACCTTCTTCTGGATAGCAAGGTATGTACTAACCATGGGCAGGATGGTAGTGTATAGGTTTTGTCATTTTGGATATTGACCTGAACTGGTGTTAACAATTGTGAAAGAAGATGGTGCTTCTTTCTGAGCCCTGTTCCTTCCAGCTTTTGAAGGCATATCTGCTGGGGGGAAAAAGACAAACCAAGCCAAGGTAGACCTCTCCTCCACCTCTAGCTGTATTTACACCTTGATTTTTAGCTCTCTTCTTACAGTTGTTGGAGCTATTTTTGGTTATTTCAGCTACAATATAAAGCACACAGTTTCAGTTCTCCCCTTTGAGTCAAAGATGTTTCCTTTTGGTCTCACATCTGTTATGCTCACACTTGCCAACTCTTGGGTGGATGATCGTATCAAGTGTGAAGGACGTAGCTGTTCTATCAGCATGGCTGAGAACAGAGATATTATCTCCCTCAGATCAGGGTGTATTTCTGAGGCTGGCCAGGTTACCTGAGTGCCTCCAGATGGCATTTGCAGGCAGTGTGCAGAAAGCGTAGTCATTTCAGTATCCTCCTCTTGCTCACTACAAGTTTGCTTTACATTTAGCTTGCTTGGAAGAAGGTCGCCAACAGTAAATACTTTACCACTAGCCAAGTAATGCACTGTTGGAATTACTGATGTAATTCCATATGTCTACATCTAGATGTAGGTAAAGGTAGGGTTTTGAAAAGGATCTATATTTTAGGTCTGCATCTAAAAATTGCTCCTCTTTGGTGTGGTCGTGTGTTTTGCACTAAGATCCAATCACTGAGTTTAAGGTGTTAATCTACTGGGGTCAATGCACAACCCAGGGACTTGCCTGCTTCTGGAGATACTTGCTGTCACTTTGAAGGGGTCAAGAGCTTGCAGGAGCAGAGGTTTCTTGAAGTAAATAGCTACTGTGCTCTATGTACACATCCAGTCCTAGGCTAAAACCAGCAATGCAAAAGAGTGCATCTATTTATTATACAAAATAAATGGAGGGGAAGAAGAAGAAAAGTTTATTTATATGTATTTATATTATGTGCTTGTGTCTCATTATTTTTGTGTTTTCTTTTTTTGGTGTGTTTTTTGGTTTTAGGGCCACGTGAAACTCTCAGATTTTGGTCTATGTACTGGCCTAAAGAAAGCCCACAGAACAGAGTTCTACAGAAACTTGAACCACAGTCTTCCCAGTGACTTCAGTAAGTGTTCTGGCTTCAGAAGGCATTCTGTGTACTGACAGCTCATCTCACCATCTGCATCTAAGGGTGCAGTGAGGGGTCTAATGACCAGGGTTGCATCTTGAGGTGTAATTTTGATTTTCTGATAGAAATTTCAGTTCCTTTAAAACAAAACCATCTTCATGTCCAGAAGGTTGTCTTTGAAATAGACTCTGCTGTAGCCCTTCTTCATATGTGTGATAAACCTTGAGTGAAAAAACTGTGTGGCTTGGTAGATGGTAGCTGTATTTCAAGTGATATTTCAATGAATAAGTGAGCACAAAGTCTCTTTGAATAGTCAGTAATTTTCTCAAGAGGAATAACTTTGATCATGGGCTGTTAATGAAAAGCTTGATAAAATTTTACTATTACACAGGTTTGGAACTTGCTGGTAGGTTTAGGGTATTGACCTGGGTAAGGCCCTGGCTGCCTTTTTTTGTTGTAAAGATCTTTAGTGTAATGGTTTGGTGGTAAAAGTGTGTAGTGGGTGACCAGTAGGATTCAATCACATACATTCTGATCTCCTTTAGCTTTCCAGAACATGAATTCCAAAAGGAAAGCAGAGACTTGGAAGAGAAATAGACGGCAGTTGGTAAGTACATTTCACCTGCTTGGGAGTGTTCTCTGCTGAGCTGTTGCATTCAAATAGCCTATATTTCAATGACAGGCATTAATCCAGAGCTCTGACCAATGCTGAAATAAAGATTCATGTTTTCTCCTTTAAAAAGAGGAATGACTCTAGCTTGTCCTTTATCCATCTGCTGAACAGCTGGTGACATATGTGCCTGAGATAAAATCACAGAGTAGTTAGGGTTGTAAAGGACCTTGAGATCATCTAGTTCCAACCCCCCGCCATGGGCAGGGACACCTCACATTAAACCATGTTGTGTAACACTGTCATCATTATTTACACTGATAGATGATGCCTCCCAGCTAAAACAGTTCTTAGAATCATAGAATCCCAGCCTGATCTGTGTTGGAAGTGACCTTAAAGCTCCTCCAGCTCCAACCCCTGCCCCGGGCAGGGACACCTTCCACTAGAGCAGGTTACTCCAAGCCCCTGTGTCCAGCCTGGCCTTGAACACTGCCAGGGATGGGGCAGCCACAGCTTCTCTGGGCACCCTGTGCCAGCGCCTCAGCACCCTCACAGGGAAGAGCTTCTGCCCCAGAGCTCATCTCAGTTTCCCCTCTGGCAGGTTCAAGCCATTCCCCTTGTCCTGTCCCTCCAGGCCGTTGTCCAAAGCCCCTCTCCAGGTTTCCTGGAGCCCCTTTAGGCACTGGAGCTGCTCTAAGGTCTCCCCTTAAGGAGGCTTCTCTTTTCCAGGCTGACCCAGCCCAGCTCTCTCAGCCTGGCTCCAGAGCAGAGGTGCTACAATGATGACCCATTCCAAGATGTATATTAACAATGGTACCCTTCCCCGATGGTATTTTAAGACTCCTTCACATGAACATGTTGATTTCTGTCTTTACATATCTTGAAATAAATGCTTTAAATGACTTTTCTAAAGAATTTTGGAGGCAATCTGGTGTCTTCCTCAAAACAGCCACTGTTGCTTAAGTTCCCACATCCATATCAGGCAGTTTTCTCTGACGATGCCTGACTGACTGTATTTGTTCCAGGCTTTCTCTACTGTGGGAACTCCAGATTACATTGCTCCTGAAGTTTTCATGCAGACTGGCTACAACAAGCTTTGTGACTGGTGGTCGCTTGGGGTCATCATGTACGAGATGCTGATTGGTAAGAGAGGCACTGCACAGGTCTTAAGCAGGAATTGTGTAGGGCATCGGCTGTATCTGTGTGCTTGGGCTCAGCAGCTCAAAGCATCCACTCTTAGGTGGTTTGTGAGATGTGTTCTGACTTCAGTAACAACAGGAGCTGGTTTTGCTTTGGTCAAGGTTGGATTTTTCTTTCTTTCCAGGTTATCCGCCATTCTGTTCTGAGACTCCTCAAGAAACATATAAGAAAGTCATGAATTGGAAAGAGACTCTGACATTTCCTCCAGAAGTTCCAATATCTGATAAAGCCAAGGATCTTATTTTAAGGTGCCAGCCATGTGGTTTGCCAGTTAACATAGTACTTTCTTGTCTTGTCAGCTGTATTATATGCCTCTCATGGCTTGCTTCACATGAAAACCCCCTGATGCTACATACTGTTACACACATGCATCAAATGCTGAACTCCCTCGTCAAATACACTTGTCTTCCAGAGGTCATTTAGTGGTTCCCTGCCTAAACTGTGCTGAAAAGCAGCTCCCATGTAAGTGCTGCTATTCTGGCAAAATACAGATGTTTCTGCTCTTTATTTTGTCTGTGAGCTTCTTGTGGAAGCAACTTAAATCTTCCTGGTAGCTGCTTACACTAGCAATGATTTTGCCATTGTAAGCACTGGAGCATACAAATGTATCCCAGTGCATGCTGACTCCTGCTTTTCCATTTATATACTCAATCACTTCTCTATTCTCAGGACAGAAATATAAATGTCTAGCTCTTTAGGCTTTATATGTTCTGCTCTACACTGGTCCTGAAATAGAAAGGGCACATTATCCTTTTGGGAAAGAATACCACATCTTAATTGTAGCCTTTGACGCAACATTCCTAAACATAACTTTGTGTGTTGGTTTTGCTGTGGGAGTTCTTAATCTTCTCCATTTGTATGTTAAGAAACCATAGTAGTACCAGCTCAGAAAGCTGTTCCATTTTGGGATGGAATGCTTTCGTTTTCATTCTTCCTTCATTGTCATTCTTCCTTCCGTCCCAGATTTTGCTGTGAATGGGAGCACAGAATTGGTGCATCTGGTGTGGAGGAAATAAAGAGTAACCCATTCTTTGAAGGGGTTGATTGGGAGCATATCAGGTAAGATGCTTTGCAGCAAAGCAAGCTGCTCTGCTCTATGGGCTGCTTAAAGCCAGTCCCCTTCAACAGAAGGGAGCAGCTTGGTTGGGATTTATCATATCCAGGTGTGGGTGAGTGTATTTTGGTCCCTGTCTGAAGCTTGTCAAGGTTTAGGTACCTTCTGTCTTTGATTCTGTTAAGAAATGGGAAGTGGCTGAATCCTGTTTTCTTTTGCCTTTGAGATCTCATTGCTGAATCTGCTCTTCTTGGCAGAGAGAGACCTGCTGTGATTTCCATAGAAATTAAAAGCATTGATGATACCTCAAACTTTGATGAATTTCCAGAATCTGATATCCTTAAACCAACAGGTAAATGCTTTGATTCTGCATGTAAAGAATCCTTCTTCTCCAGCAGAATAATTTCCTGTTAATCAGAGAAAAGATCTTACTAGATACTGGCTTCTTCTATTGTGATCACTTTGTTAGCTTGGGGGTCTCGTGGTGCAGGGGTGTGCAAGCTGCAATATGGGTTTTGGGAGATGGGATGCACGCTTGTAAATGATGCAGGAGCATCTGAGGGTATCTCTAAGAGGCAACAGAGCGCAGGTCTCAGCAGGACCCTGTGGTGTCCTTTGGGACTGCCTAATTCTTGCTAGTCTGTCTAATGCTTAGTGTAGGGATAGGGTGGGACAGGAGAGGAGAGGTTTTGGTGTAAATCTCTAAAGGATCTTTGTATTTACGTGTCAGAGCATAGTCACATGTTTGCTCTGTATGTTTAAAGAACATGTCACAGCAGTTTCTGATTGGGGTTGAGGACTGGCACATGGAATGCCCAGACTTATGGTTATTTCTTCTTTTAGAGGCACTCTGCCCTACTTTACATCCAGTGTTCTGTATGAAACTAAACTCTGCAGTCTTCAGAGGGTAACTTTGTCTTTTTCTGTGTCTTACCAGTGGCCACCAGCAACCATCCAGAGACTGACTACAAGAACAAGGACTGGGTTTTTATCAACTACACCTACAAGCGATTTGAAGGTCTGACAGCCCGAGGAGCGATACCATCCTACATGAAAGCAGGAAAGTAATAAATCATTACCTGGGACAACTTCTGAGCCATGGAACTCTGCTCCTGTACTTTGGGTTTAGACCCACACAAGAACTACTTCCTTTTTTTTAATGAAAACTTGAGGGCTATCAACTCTTGGAGAAGACTTCAGGACCCCGTTTTGTTACACACCCTGGTTGTTACTAAGGATTTTTTCTACATCATTGAATGTTTGTATCATCTCTGCTACAAGCACGTTTTGCTGCTTCAGGAGGAAGAGTTTGTTGTCTTTTTAAACTCCTTGCCAGTTGTACAGTCTGTCGAGAGAGCATCCCTTCACTTGGACATGCAAAAGCTCTTCACAGGGACTGTTTTGCCAGTCCTGCATTTTAAGTGACAAACTCAACCTGCCAATTCTGCCAGCGCTGTCTTCCCCAGTGGCAAAGGACTTCAGTACAGAGGAAACAAAGCAATAATGAAAGCCTGAGACAGAAAACTCTCCACTAAACTGTCTAGTAGGACACAACTTGTATTGCCTTAACCTTAGTTTGTAGTGCTGGTTTTTATAGTGCTACTTGGAAGCCTCTCTAATGGCATTTCTCAACTCTGGTGCAGTGGCCTCCAGTTGCAGTGCACTTTACTTTTGGTACTAAGACAGTGATTTGACCCTCAAGCCATTTAATATTTTTGTTCTAAATTAATAATTGTGCAACACTTTTTCTTTCCTAGACAGTCAGGAGAAATGGGCCAGTTCCTCAGCAAGCACCAACACTTTTCATTTACTGTATGCAAGGATGGATCTCTAAAGGCTGCAGGTAATGCAGACTCCAGCTGGTAACACAAGTGGATCTGGAATTAGAGCAGAGAGGGAAGGAAATGCATTTAACCTGAGCCTTGGTGGGCATCTTGTGCACAGCCTGGTTAGTCAGGAGGCTTCCCGGTCCTGTTGCTGCCATCTTTTGGCCACTTCTAAGATCTGCTGCATCTTCGTCGGTTTAAAGACAAAACCATCTTCTGTGGCCTTTCTGCTCTGTTTTGGAGCAAACAACATCAGATTCGTCCATGAGTCTTGCTGGTGGAGGCCTCCCTGGCTTTTCCTTATGGAGCTCCTCTTGCTGTGTGGCTGAACCATCCGTCCCTGCAGTCTTCCAAAGAGACAGTGTCTCATGGGCTCAGAGTTGGGGCAGTGGAACCCACTTTTCCCCTCTTTTCCTCTCTTTTTCTTATTGCCTGGTGTCATTTCTACAAGTACATTCAGTTATGGTCAGGTTGCTCTCCAGGAGAGCTGGAAAGTGCCTTTCCTTGCCTGGGCATCTTGGAACATGCCTGCAGTTTGGGAGGGAGGATTCTGCCTCAGCTGAGCTTTTGCTAATCCCTTTTGCTCCACTTTGCACCTATTTTGTAGTTAACTCTGCAAAATGCCTTTGGTTAATGGGTCCAGGGGCAGGAGGCATTAACCTTTAGGCCTGCCTGGTTCCAGTCTTTAACTTGCAATTAGATCTAAAAGTACATATATAAATATAATGAGGTTTCTAAAAGCATCTATCAATTTGAATTGTCTTGGATTCTTGCAAACTTACTGGTGCTGAACACTAACTACATAGCACAGACAAAGTTGTTTAGAAACAAAGCCAGAGCAGTGTTTCAAAGTCAAAGGAAGCTCTCAGTTATATTTGATCCTAATATTCTAGATTAGGAAATGAAAGAAAATGAGTTTGTTGTGAAACTTGTTTTACTAGGTGCTTTTTAGGGAGTTTTTACCTAGATGTCTTTTGAATTCAGTGCCATTGTGAAGGACTGATTGGGGGATTGGAGTGCTGTATATAGCTAAAAGTGGGTGATAACTGGTTAGCATCCTCCCCCTGACCACTCCTTGTGCTTTTTGTATATGTCCTAGGAGTTGCCATAAGCAGTTTAGATACCACTTGGATCCTACAAAGCTGAAATGCAAAAATAGCCTTAATCAGAAGTCCCAGGATCACTGCAGTGCGCAGGGCTCACTCCAATGAATAAGGGCTAACTGGAGCTATGATTTACAGGATCAGGCTTTTCATCAGCTAGTCAGTAATAGCATCTTCTGCTCCCTTTCTACTTTTTATGAAGGACTGATCCCAACTTCTCAGATTGCTCCATCTCCTTATCCTGCAGTTTTTTCCCAGCCATGTGAAAATGTTGCCTTATAAACCATTGGAAAACTATGAGGTGTTAATATCAAACCAGTTTTAAAGCATCCTACCAGCTTAGTTACTGCCTTAAAATAATGATAATTAAAACCTCCCAAGTCCTTTCAAGCTGCTGTGGATTAGGAATAAATGATTTTTGGGATAGTAGCTGCATTATTAGCCCTTTACTATAAGGGACTGGCATTTTTCTTTATAAATACCAAAGATGAAGAAGTGAAACAACTCTAACTTGTGATAACATGCTGTAAAAACCCCTTTATGGTAATACGGACTGTGCATTTTTAGTGCAAGTGTGTTCTGAATCCTCTGATTGTTACTTCTTGAGTTAAAGGTCAGGTTTTCCAAAGGCACAAGGAGCATCTGTCAACCTCACTCCTGTTTTATTATGGTTGTGTTGTGAGCCTGCTTCCTGCTACAGCTGTTCACCATCACCAGGACAGAAAGTACAGCATCTTCTTTCCAGGATCCATATTTCATTTCCAGATGAACATTTTACTATGCCTGTTCCATGTTAGCCAAACATTTTTCTTAGCTCCTGGCTCGTGTATTGAGGTTGTATGTATCTTCTAGCTCTGTTTTGTTTTTAAGCTGCAAGCAGTTGCTGGACTTGTAGGAGTTATTCCATCTGAATTTCCAATGGATCTGAACATGAGTGATGCTGCCAGTTCATCTCTGTATCATGCCTAGCACAAAACTGCACCAAGTGTTTCTTACCACTGTGCACTGACTCTGCCTTAACCTGTAAGTTGAAACAAGCATCTGTAAATACTTAAAAGCTGTTACAAAACTGCACTGTACAATGGGGCAGGTGTAGTGGGTGTTGCTTTTTATGGGATGATCTTTGCATTGTGTTGTGTAAATAAAATCCTCTTAGGAAAGGAATCTCTCAGGTTCTTGTTTCGGACTTGAAACTCATTTCAGAGTCAAGTGCTCGGGTGTGAGAATGCAGTGGGGCAACCCATGGGCTAAGGCCAGGCTGAGGAAGTTCAGCCTGGAGAAGAGAAGCTGCGTCGAGACCTCAGAGCAGCTTCCAGTGTCTGAAGGGGGCTACAAGGATGCTGGAGAGGGACCTTCATCAGGGACTGTAGCGATAGGACAAGGGGTGATGGGTTCAAACTGAAACAGGGGAAGTTCAGGTTAGATAGGAGGAGGCGCTTCCCTGTGAGGGTGCTGAGCCGCTGGCACAGGGTGCCCAGAGAAGCTGTGGCTGCCCCATCCCTGGCAGTGTTCAAGGCCAGGTTGGACACAGGAGCTTGGAGCAACCTGCTCTAGTGGAAGGTGTCCCTGCCCGTGGCAGGGGGTTGGAACTGGATGAGCTTGAAGGTCCCTTCCAACCCAACCCAGTCTGTGATTCTGTGACTCTATTTTCTGTAGATGCACAGCAGCAATGAGCACCCTGTTAAAGGTCCTGAAGTCCAGAAGAATTAAACCTCCCTGGCAGAGTACAACTGGCCTTCTGGCAAGGGTGGACAATCCTGGCCTTACTCGGGCAGTGTGTAAATATAACTTCATTTTACCAGCTTCAGGACAAGTTCATTTTCATCTTTTCCTCTTTCTATTTTTAAAAGGCACTGGAAGCAAAGCTCTGACCCTTCATTATTTTCCTACCACTCTGTAATATGCCAAAATCCACTGTGGTTCTTAGTTCATTGCTTCACACTTGTGACAGCTCCACTTGTGAGTACAAGTTCCTGCCATCATTTTGGTAATTCCACTAAATTAAATCTTTTAGTGCCTTTCTCAAGCTTCATCAAGAAAACCTTCCAAACACATCCACCACTGAAAATGGGAATAAAAGCCAGACCTGCTCCAAAGCTGTTTTCCTCTGCAGATGGAGTAGGTAAAAGCATCTTTCACACCAAAAGCAACACTGTGGCCTGTTTTAAATGCTGCATAGTTGATGGGTTCAGTAGTGTTGGGTCATACCTGCACTATGTGCTGCTTTTAGAACACCACTGCAATGAGTTGGTAAAATCCAAGTAGTAACACCTGTGTATGGGTGCTGCAGAAGGTCCTGCTTGGTGCATTTCTATGTCTTTGGGGTCACAAGCCCCACTTGCTTATGAAGGAAGAAACAAAACCTAGTAACTGATCCCCTGCCTGTTCTTCTGCTCCACATTTAAAATGACTTTTAGAAGAGCCAAACAAGCCAGGTATAATTTATACTTTAATACAGAAAAGAAACCATACAGCTGTAGTTCACACACACCACAGGGAACACTGCAGTAGGTCTAGAGTAAGACAAAACTTGACGTTGTGCCTGAAGTAGGTGACCATGAAGAGGAGGAAGAAAAGCAAATGCCTGTTTTTCAGTTTGATTTAGTGTTCAAATAGAATTCACTCTACTAAAAAAAATAGAATTCATCTTGAGTTACTTGGGAAAGCCAATAAACTACAGTGGGCTTTTGGAGGGGTAAAAACTGGAAATGATGGAAGCTGGATACCTCCATCCCATGCTGAAGGTCCAGCTGATTACCCAGAGTACCAACAAGCTCCAACAAGGCATTGACAGTCTCCAACTCTCAGGTAATGGCTGTTGCAGTTAAGTCCCTGTGATCACTGTCCTACTAAACTGACCAAATCCTTCAAGAGGTTTGCTGATGCTGGGCTCGGGGATGGACACTGGAGGGGTTTGTTCTGGCTGAATATGGTACTTGGCTGTCAGGTCCCATTGCAGTCAGATGCCTTGACACAATCCTGTAGCTCACCAACACACACCTTTCAGGTCCATAGAACAGAACATGTGTAAACTCTAATTGTGAGTCAGCTGGTCAATACCAACAGACATTTACTTCAAACTTACACTGCTGTAAAAATAAATACACACAGAAAAACCAGAATCCATAGGACCTGGGGCCAAGCTCCATCACTGCTGGGCAGAGCCTCACCAGTGGAAAATTTGACTTGTGGAAATGGCAGGTATTAGGCTTGGTCTGGCCCTTAGCTAGAGGGTTGATGGTCCGTTATGTCTTCCTTTCTCTACTACAAAAATAGAAATTCATCTAGAGCAAGAATGGGAAGTGATTGCCACCACCTCTGTGCTGATACCGAAGGACACTTCTCTGTCCTGATCCACTGACACACACGGAGGATTTTGCAGAAGTCAGCAGGTAGACCTGGGCATCTGAACCACTGGGACCCTCAGGAGGTCCTGGAGCACTTCTGGAAACCTTCCCATAGGCACTTAGAAAAAGAAGAGATCTATTTGCTGCACTTAGGAAAGAAGCTGAGAACAGAAACACTGCAAAGAATGGAACCTGCATCCATACAAATGGGAGCTAAATATATCAGCAAGTTGATGCCTTGGCAGAGATTTTGTTCCTTGTAACTAAAACAACTCATAATCCTTTAGGAAAATCTGTGTTTGATATTGTCATGGTACTTACACTGAAAACCCAAACATCCGTAGCAGCAAACAGTAACTTCAGTGCTGTGTCTACCATACACTTTGCAGACAGATTGAGAATAATACAAGATTTGCTTTATGATATAACCCTGGCAACAAAGGATTAAACCTTCCAAGGGCAGGGTACCTACCTCTCTTTTGCCAACTACGACCAGGTAACTCAATGTGTAAGTGGTATAGGATTCAACAGCAGCCAACTGCAAGAGCAGAACTGACCTGAACTTAACAACCTTGCAAGGGAGCTCTCTCCCTCCCTTTGACTGGGTTTCAGCTTTTCTTTGCACCATGTCTAACTCTGCTTTGGGTATGTAAAACCTCTACACAGTCATCAGAACAACCAGAGGCCCGTTATGGTTGATGTGCTGCTTGGTTGTGGTGGTTCTGAACTCACTGTGTGCTACTCAGGGGTTTAATGAAGCCTACAGGTACCTCCACACTGCAGGAACAGGACCAGTTGGCTTTGATGTAACTAAGCTAAACCAGCCTGTAGTGTGTCTCTACTTACAATCACAGCTTTGTTGGCTCTAAATCCAAAATGAACAAAGCCTTAACCATGACTAGGCTACTATAATCAAAGCAGCAAAGGAGTGTTGTTCCCAGGTACGTGTGTTTTTCTCTGCTGAAGGCTGGTTTACTATTGCCGTTTCTTACCTGCCTGACAGCAAAATGGTCCAGTCAGTTCCAAACTGGGAAGACAGTAGCTGGCCTTTTAAAGCTGCAGCAGTAGAGTGCTCCTGGGAGAGTCTACAGAAATACTGACTGACTAAGGTGGATGAGACCAAGGAATTTACTCAGGTAGTAAACTGTCTGTACTGTGAGCTCCTCCACTTTTGTCTTAGCAGGGGGATGGAGGAGATAACTGATAGTCTTTAGCATGCAGTCACTTCTAGAAAGCTTCTTACATCTACTAGGCTACTAAACAGATTTACTTTGTTGGTAAAATATCAGCTACAGTCTCTTCTTTTTTTGCTTTTTCCTTCAGTATAATCTACTCATTTTGCTGAACTTAAGAGACAACATCCCTAAAAACGACGATTCCATCCTATGGAGAAGTATATCTGGGCAATTCCTGTCAACAGGCATATGCTTCCTATTGAACTAGTCCGTCCTTGCCCAGAACAGCAATACAGCACTGGATGCAGAGCCAGGTGGCAGTGTAAACACATTCCTCCACACTCAGGATTTTCCTGTCCCAACTGTGCTACATTTCTGCTGGTTGATGAAAGAGCATCATCTGTCCTGCTTTGATGTTGGGTCCTTTGTAACTGATGTATCACAAAAGGAAAGCTAAGTGCCTAATGATAAAGGAAAGCTTTGTCTTGACAGGCCCAGAATTTCCTCTCTCATGTCAAACAAGATGTTTCAAAACACTTCTAATCTTCTTTTAGAAGTTCAGGGAAAATATTCAGCACCCACCAATCTGGAAGCCTTTGAAGTAGAAACAAACAGCATCATTTTTTCTTGTTTGAGGAGATGTTGCTTTTGATTGCACAATTAGACCATGAAGTGTGGCTCCTTATTAACATGCTTGAAGTATGACAACGTAATAAGAGCAGGAACGAGGAGAAAGCACCTTGCAAGAGTCTGTGTTCCATCACCAGGGATGGAACTATGCCGAGACATTCCCACATCAGCAGCACCATCACCCTGAGCCACTACTAATCTGGTAGATCATTCACAGCCATTTGGGAGAATGGTGCATTCAGCCTGTCCAGTTCATCTACCTGTGGGGGGTGATGCATTATAACCTCCTGGTCCTCTGAAACATCATCACCCACAGTGACAAGGTTTGTGAGGGATTTGCTCCGAACACACTGGAAATCAACGTGACGGCTTTTGCCCTCTTCCTTCTCCCATGACATCTGGATGAAGGGCCGTTGAACGTAGTTGTAGATGACTTCTGAGCGGCCACCAGGCCTCCTCTTCACCTTCTCTTTGCAGGTGGGATACCCTGAAAACACACGCAGCCAGTCAGTCGCATTACACACCTCTAATATGCACAAAGGGACAAGAGGATCCCAGAACAACAGCCAGGTAGGACTGACTATGGGGTCAGGGGGACTTCGGAGATGAACACTCACATTCCACATTTACCAGTATTGGTTTGCAAAACTGTTCTTTTTTTCCCTGCAAAGGAGTCCAGGAAGGTTGGACACTCCAGCCTGAGGGACCTGGGGGGTTTAGTGTGGAGAAGAGAAGGCTCAGGGGGGACCTGATCGCTCTCTGCAACTGCCTGACAGGAGGATGGAGCCAGGAGGGGGCTGGTCTCTGCTCCCAAGGAACAAGGGATGGGACAAGAAGAAACGGCCTCAAGCTGCCCCAGGGCAGGTTTAGCTGGAGCTGAGGAACAATTCCTTGCCCAGAGGGTGCTCAGGCACTGGAACAGGCTGCCCAGGGCAGGGCTGGAGTCACCATCCCTGGAGGGATTTAGAGTATGTGCAGATATGGCATTCTGTGACATAGTTAAGTGGCTGCTTTGGCAGTGCTGGGGAACGGTTGGATTCAATGTTCTTAAAGGTCTTTCCCAACCTAAATGGTTCAATGATTCTCTAAAAAGAGGGTGCAGCACTGTGTGTAGCTGTATGATCAATGGCTGCGCAGTGCTGGCCACTTTGTAAGCAGACACAGCCACTCTAAAAATAAGACAGTGTCCCAGGACAAAGCACAATGTTCTCTAAGCTCCCTAAGGGGATGCCTGGATCAGCAGGCAGAAGTGTTGGGACTCCTGTTTCCTGTTTACTCGCTCCTAAACAGAACAGTCTTATTGCTCCATGCTACAGATCTTTAACTTTTCTCTAACCTTTAAGCCTCCTGACCAATTTCAGTGTAACATGACAGAGGTGGAGGAACATACCCGGTTTGTACTAATTCCATGAAAGTAAACACCTAGTAAAACACAAGAGCAAAGCAGGAAATGTCTGGAGCCCAGAAGAAACCAGGATTTACTGACTATGGAGTCACCTGAGGGAACACTTTACCTTCAATGCCAATGCGAATGTTCTTCAGGCCCCGCTCCTTTAACACAGCTTTTGCCACATCGCGGTTCTCGATGTACTTGAAGAATCTGTACAGCTTGGAGCTGTAAAGGACTGGAGGAATAAAAAAGGGGATTACAATCTTCAAGGAGGGACCCTCTCCCTGGTTTTGACATGCTATAATGTGGAGGTCCCTAAAGGGAGACTACAGGAAATCTGGAGAGGGGCTTTTTACGAGGGTATGTAGGGACAAGACAAGGGGAATGGCTTTAACCTGAAAGAGGGGAGATTTAGGTTAGGTATTAGGAAGGAATTCTTCCCTGTGAGGGTGCTGAGGCGCTGGCACAGGGTGCCCAGAGAAGCTGTGGCTGCCCCATCCCTGGCAGTGTTCAAGGCCAGGTTGGACACAGGGGCTTGGAGCAACCTGCTCTAGTGGAAGGTGTCCCTGCCCGGGGCAGGGGGTTGGAACAGGATGAGCTTTAAGGTCCCTTCAACCCAAACCAGTCTGGGATTCTGTGAGGTATTGAAAACCAGGTCTGGTTTCCAAGAACTCCGGGTGTCTGTTCTCATCACTGGGAATAGCTGCACTTCCTTGATGGGTAGGCAGTGATGTACACTGCAGGCTGGATAGAACGGGTGGTGATGGGTGTGCACTAAGGAGCCAGAAAAAAGCTGAAGGGGCAGCAGCAAACAAAAGGAAGATGCAGTGAGTGCTGTCATTACGAATGCAGGTGGTCAGACCAAAGCTCTGATCAGGCTCTGGCAGCAGTCAGTTCAGAAGGAACACACAAAACAGTGTCTCCTCCTGAAGGAAGACTGCTGTTTGGACAATGGGCCCTTTCCTTACAGCCACATGCCTGAGTGTGTGCTGAACATGGAGCCAGGAGCCCCAGTGTCGAGCCCTTACTTTGTGAGTACTCCTCTCCCATTGGAGGTGGATGATCTTCATCCCAGTCCACGGTGTCTTCGTCCGTCAGCACCACAATATGACATTCACGTTCCCCTTTCCTTGCACTATCCACCATAATGGGCAGAATGAGCTCCTCCAGGTAGCTGTCAAACTGCTTGTGAGCACCATCATTGGAGAGCTCGTGTAACAGAGCACCTAATGAGACAGACATATGATGAGCTGTTCTACACAGCATGAAAGTATGTCCCAGCTCTACACTTTCCAGATACAGCCTGCATTCTTCTTCCGACAAACTCCTTAACATATGTTCAGATGCATCAACAGTCTCCAGCTCCAGAACTGGCAAAATCAGATGCATGAGACCGTGTTTCCAGTGGGATGCAGATTACACTGTCAAACCATTACACTACCATTAAAAGAACACCAAGGTCCAATCAATACAGTGGAATTATTAATTCATTACAATACTCAACTTGAATTTCCAGCAACAACCCCTGTCGTTAAAGCACATTTTCTGCCTTCTCTGTGATAACTGATCAGAGGATAGGGTAGGAAATTCCCCTCACAGCCAGGGCTATGATGCCATGTACCCCATTCCTGTACAGTTCCTTTCACAGCCTATGTTAAAAGTGTTTTGCCTGCATTCCCACCAAAAAGCTGCTCCCAGTCAGATCCCTTCATGCCTAGGAACTCTCCACTGCTTTCCAGCTTTGGTGTCCTTGGTTCCTGCTCTGCCCATCATCCTTTAGCTTAAATGATTCATGATTCTCTGGTACATTTTAGACAGGAGTCATAGCCCTGCTTTTAGCCTTCATTTTGTCTGGCTGTAACAGAACGTCTTCTCAGCCTCTGTTACAAGAAGAGACCATGATTTTTACAAGTTCAATTTGCTTTTTTGAGCAAGGTGCCTGTGTGCTGCAGGATTCAATCCCTTGGGATTGATGCAGCACAAAAAGGAAGCTGTTTAAATGCAATGCATAGATGATTCTTAGTGAGTCCACACCTTCATGCTAAACTAAAGCCCACAGTAAAGAACTGCATTGAATCAGGATCAGAGTGCTCAAACTCATGCAGAGGAGCTCCTAAGAGCTGGTTTCTTTCCATACTTACTTAAATCCTGACATTTGATTGTGTTGAAATCAAAGTTTATGCAGAGGTAATCACATGTGTCTCGAAGGTCTGGGATGGAAATCCCATCGGGGCAGTTAATGATCCCGGTTTTGTAATAATCCTGCAAATAAAAGCACAGTTTTGGGAGTGAAAAATTAAGAATATCTTGGACTCTGATAACTTCCCATTACTTCTTTGTTTCGTTAACCAACATTTGAGAGTTACAGAGGCTATTTACAGCTCTGTGATCAGTAAAACCACCCTCCTTGTCCGAGAATCTACATATCTCTGTTTCTCTGCAGACCCCCTTGGGTCTGATCAACAGTGAGCTCCAGCTAAAACCTTTCCCATGGCATAGAGTTTCATAACAGCTCATAGGCAACATGCATTTATATGCAACCACAAGGCTGGGATGCAGCTCAGGAACTAGAACAGTGTGACACAAGAAAGGTAAAAGGCAACATCTGAAACGTTGACTCATACCAAAGAGTTTTAACAAAATCACAGTGCAGAACAGGAATAACAGAACGTGTCCCAGGGGGGGTGCAGCTGCCTGGGACATGGCTTAGTTTGGCACAAACAGATTGTTTTCTTCCATCTGCAAACATGTCCTTACCAGCACAGTCCGGAACACAGCTGAGCTGATTCCTTCTGCAATTTCATATTCCCCCTTTTCATTTGGCCGGGTGAAATTGTATTCTCTTCCTGGTCCAAACATTCTGAACAGATACAAATCTATGTCAGGGCATAAGTATATTGAAATGCATTCATTCGAGAGATCTATAGGCGCATTGAGGTTAAACAAACCCAGCAGTGGCACATACATACAGTAACAAACCCTACATTTAAATCTCTCACATGGTAAATAAGCACAAGAACTGTCTCAGCTCAGCCCTCCTATAACTGGACTCTGTTGTTACAGCTACTGTATTGTATGGAACAAGCCAAAGCTCAAAGGAACAGCTCATTCAACCCTGGGTCAGAAAATACACCAGCAATAAAGCCCTTTCACTGACACTACATGAAATACCCACCACATGCTTTTTCATCCCTTGTTTTACACAACAGCCTCCACAAGGGTCAGTAACCCAAGAGAAACCATCTCCTTTGGTCAGAGATGGGGGAAAGCACTGGCAATATAGAAAATGAGTGCTTCCTGTTGTGTCAAAAGGCTCCAACCTTTACACCATGCTACATGGAGCTGAGTAACTTCTCTCTGGGGAGAGTATCAAAAGATAACAGCAGAAGGGGGATGGAGCATTATCATTTTCCCCATTCTGGAAGGGAGGTTATCAGCTGGGAACAGATGTACTGCTTACAAACAAGGCAAACACTTGGACAGAGGTAAAAGGAGACCAGGTCTAGCTAAAAGCACTCATTGTTTGAAGGAAGTGGGAAGAAGGGAGAAAGTCATCTCGAGAACTACCAACTCTTTCTACATCTGGGCATGTCTGCAAACCCTCACAGCCAAGTTCTGAATGAGGTCAACCTTGCCTCACTTGTGTGTAGACAGGACAAACAGACATTTGGGGTTTGTTCCACTGTAGCAAACATTTGACCCCCTTGAGGTATCTTGAAAACAGTGGAAATCACCCACCTTCCCAGCATGGTGTCAGGGTGAGCAGTGAAAATCTGTGGATTCACTGCAAAGCGAGTCCCGTCTACCACGAGTGTCACCTTCTCTGGAGCCACTGTCTGTGAGCTGCTGCTTGAGGACAAGGTGCAGCACCCATGGCGCTCCTGGGCGTTAAAGTATTCCGACTGTCTCTTATTTCCATCTTGGAAATGGCAGTTGTGAGTGTCTTCAGGAGCAGACAACATGCTACTGAGCTGGGGACTTACTGGACAGGGAGCGTGTCGGCATTCAGGATCTAAACCTGGGAGAGACAAATGAATATTGCAGGAGTAAGATACTGAGGATGCTGAAAAACATCATGTCACTGTAACACTGTAGTACAAAACCTGAGTCATACAGGGATGTCAATACATGTGGTGTTGCATGTCATAAACAGAGTCATACTGGATGTCAGGGTAATGTTACATGACATAAAACCACACTCCATTTTCAAACTGAGCCAGCACCTGGACTGTGAATAAGAAAATTCCTGATAAACCACGATGCTTAATGCTCCTTGTTAAAGCAAGATGGATTCAGTGTGTAAGAGCAGGACCCAGGAATTACACAAGGCCAGAAATACAGACACAGTTTCCCAGCACAGACAACTACTCTTACAGCAAAGCAGGAGCAGAAGCACACACCACACTAGAGGTGGTTGATGCTGCTCCATGGTGGGCACACAGCTCATTGGGAACGTCCAGCTACCTCCAGTTAATGTGCTCAGGGACAACTGCAAGTTGGCCAGCCAGGGCATACCTGTGTGATGTTTCTGCCAAGACAGCAACATCCCAAACTCTGCCGTGGACCACTGGTCCTTTAGACCAACCTGGCAAAGGCAGGACACATATTCCCCACAGCAAACTGCCTTGGGATACTGGATTTTTCCCAAAACACAGTACCCCCTCAAAAAACCCCCCAAACCAACCCTAAAACCCTCTCAGGTCTAAGGTAAAGACATTACCCTCAGTCCTGGGAGCTGCAACTGGGCTGTGACCTCCTAACACCACGTTACTTTCTTCTGACTCCTGGACTGCTACAGTTGTGTTTCCCACAGAGCAGCTGGGCTCCAGGTTTCTTGGCCAGTCTGTGCCACCAGCACAGTTCACATTCATGCTGGGCCTTCCCGACGTGAGGAGTTGGCTGCGTTTCCTAAGAGAAGAGCTAGGGGAGAAAACACCAGGCTGTTGGTTTTGGAAGAAACTCCCAAGCAGTGAATCCCTATACCTGGAACCACAAGCAAAGGCTCTCAGGCTCAAAAGGTGTTTCTTCAGACACTTAACTGGGTTTCAGAAAGACTTATGAAGCTGGTTGTGGCCTTATGCTTACCTAAGACGGGGGAAATAAAGGTGTTAAAGGAACCAGGGGTCTGTTTATCTATAAACCTTTGCTTATTAAAAAGTAAGTTTAAAACCACTGGTGTCTTCAGATGACACGTGTGATCCTGCAAATATCTCTTTGGCAATTGCCTGACCTCCACACCACATCTCTCTGGATTCCCAGTACTGGCAAAATGTGCTCTATAACATGGCTATAGCCCAAATCCCATCATTTTCCCAGCTAACAGCTCAGGCATTGCCTCTTAACCCCTCTGAGGCCTGAAGGAGGCTCCCTGCTCCCAGACATTGCATTCTTTGGTCTTTCCTTCTTGATTTATCACCCTCTTGTCACACAGTGCTCACCCCAGTGTTTAACCCAATATAGTCATAGAATCACAGAACGGTTTGTGTTGGAAGGGACCTTCAGATCATCCAGTTCCAACCCCCTGCCATGGGCAGGGACACTTCACACTGGGCCATGTCACCCAACACACACGACACTAGAACCAGTGCCACTCAAATCCTACCTGTTCTTTCAGCACATGCAGAGACATCTTCTGGTTTTGCTGTTTGGCCACTTTTCCCTCCTTTCTATCTCCCTACAGTCTCTTTTGCTGTCTCTTTTGCTGTTTCAGTCTCCCCTTGGCATTGATTTTGTCCTGCTATTGCCCTGGACAAGACACCACTCTCCTTTCTTGCCTCCATGTGTTTCCCTTTCACTCTCCAAAACACAAAACACCAATTTCCTCATTAATGAATGTTCCCAATTGCCCCCCTGCAGAACAATTGTCCTGTGTCCTTTGCTTGGCTGAATTAAGACTCCAGAGCCCACGGGTGCCATCCATGGCAGAACAGTGACAGGGCTGGATACAAACCAGATGAAATCCAGCACTAATAAACCACCAAAATGCCAAATGAGAGTTGGAGAGTGTTCTGGGCAGGACCTGCTGAGGATGAAGGTTTTAATGAGCAGTTCAGTGGTGGGTTTCCACTCAGTTACTGCCATTTCAGTGTAAGCATTTCAGTCTTAATTGGAAATTTTCGAAAGGAATAACAATTCCTTCCTCTTGTCCCATCAATCCATCAGGAAGTTGCCAGAATTATCTGTATATCCTTACAAAACGTGCTGCTTACACATCATGTGAGGTTCACTAGAAGGAGGATTTCTGGCAGTAGCATAACCCTGTGAAAAGCTGCTGTATTTTTATCTTTCCAAAGGCTGCAGCAGCAACACAAGGAGCCTACGAGGGTCATCTGAGTTCCAGCAAACTTAACAAGCGTGCAGGGCATCACCATCCTCCTCTCCTCTCACCAAATACCCAAGGTTGGATCAGAAACTCCCTCTCCCGACACGTTCCAGGCTGGTTTCTTGGACCCACTGCTCTGGCCTGGACCCTGGAGAGACCCTTCAGCAGCCCTACCAAAATCCCACCACACACCATGAACACTGCCTTGTGTTTGGTCACACATGAACAAATCCATCCCCTTCTGCCTGAGCAAAGGGCACCACAAACTCCCCATGAATAAACCTGTGCAATGTTCTGCCCTCTTCTCTCATGGGACAGACGAGCAAAGAGGTAGCAACAGGCCAGTGGGTGAGGAGCCCCTAGGATCTAAGCAGAACATACCAACTGTCCCACTCTTACAACTTCAGGACAAACCAACTTCCCCAGGAATGATCTATATAAAAGAACAAAGGGGAATAGCTTTAACCTGCCAGAGGGGAGATTGAGATGAGCTCTTACCAGAGTTCTCTACTACAACATCTCAGAAACTACCTGTAGAACTACCATCAGATACACACGAGCTACAAGACATGAATTTCCCCTGATCATTCCCCCCCATTCCCTTTTTCTGCTTAATCTGCTAAGCAGGATCTTAGGACAAAAAGCCCCACGTGTTTGACACATTTCTCCTTGTTCTGTTCTGTTACAGTAAGTTCAGCACCAGTGAAAGGTGCTAAAAGCTGCAGTGACAGAAAGATGCAGAAACAGATGCTCTTTGCAATGGTGGTGGTTCTGACCAGTGTCAGATCCGAGTTTCCTCATTAAATCTGCAGGAAGCCCTGCTGATAATCTGCCTTGGGCCAGGCTAATGCTATTTCCCTGGTCCCTCTTGGCAGGCCAAAATCCTACACATTATGTGTCAGCAGAATTGAGGTAAATGAGTAAGGATTCCTTTAGCACAGCTGGCTGGGACAACACATTTCCGAACTAGTCATTTTCCATGACAAATACACTGCAATCATACACAGAACCCAGAAGGAAAACCAGTACATAAAGGCTTCAGAAGGTTCTACTCATGCCTGAGCAGCCTACAAATGCCCTGTTTTCTTTTCATGCCCAGGATCAAGGTGAACTACTCATGGTAAGAATAAATACCTCTAAATAATAATTAGCACTATTTGTCTTCAAAGCTTTATACAAACATGAACTGCTCCTTCCTCCTGGCAGCCCTGGGAAGCACTGCAGGGAAGTCTTTTAGGAACAAAGGGCACAGAAAGAGAGACATCATCTTCAGGGCTCAGTGTTACACTGACTTGTAGCACGTTCACTACTCAAACTCAGCAGCAACTCCCCTGTACTTAGCAGGACAAACACAAGCAGGTTCCCATCTTTTTTTGAGGTGTGTTTCCATGCATGTTTCTATCCTCTGGTAAGCATCAGTTGGCTGGTACCACAGAACTGATCACGAGCACCCCAACTTCTTAGCTCACTTCTCACGAGCTTGTTTGGATGCTCAGATCCTGAAGGAACAGGTAGGGACCAGTGTGAGCTGTAGACTCAGGGTTTGTGGGCAGCTGGATTTTGGGAGCTGGGAAGGCAGGAGTGACAAAAGCCCAATGTCATGCTCAGCACTAAAGCTCAGAGAAGGAGCTCTTGAACAGGCTGGGATTGGTTTTAAAAGGAACTCAGTATCAGAGTCAGAAATCAAACCTCACATCTGACTCTGGCTGTTGGTTCTGCCTAACTTGGAGCACGTGGGTCCCTCCTTCCTCCAGAACATGACATTAAGAACGAGCCATGCAACTGAAGAAGCATCTCTGCTCTCTAACTCATGTGCTGATGGTCACAGCGAAGTCATCTTTATTTGTACTTGTTTCAGGCCAACACTTTTGTTGAGAGAAAAATAGGGAAGTGAGATTGCTTTTTTAAACACAAACAGGAGACACATTTATTTAGCAACATCTCTGGCACAACCAGTTCCTGCTACAAACCTTTTGCAGAGATAGAGAGGCTGAGCCTTGCTCTATGTAACTCATAAGGAAGAATTGTACTGTGATGATCTTTGGCACAATATCCTTCTCCAACCTAATGAACCCAAGGCTCAGCCAAGCTCCCCAAGTTATACAGTCATTGCCTGGCTACTAGAAGGAGCCAAATGGCTTAACTTGCCCACCATGACCAGTAAGTACATCAGTGGTATGTGTGCAGAGAAGACACTCTAACACATTAAGGTGCCCATCAGAGAAAACCCCTTTAGATGCAGGACTTTAATGGAGCAAAAGATAACAAAAACATCTCAGACTTGCTGGTCTCTAACTCTTGTGTTACTTGTTCCTTATTATCCTTAAATCCTTTGGATTTTAAGAGCCATTATAAAGTATTTTGGGTATCAAGGTTCCAGAACTTCACAGAAATGTCAAAGAAAATCATGAAAAGCTGAGCTGTCAAAATCCATTCAAGAGTAAAGCCCTTTCCTGTAACATCTGACAACTTATGCACTGCTTCACTGTCATCCAGCAGAGAATCACAGAGTCCCAGCCTGGTTTGAGATGGAAGAGACCTTAAAGATCATCCAGCTCCAACCCCTGCCACAGGCAGGGACACCTTCCACTAGAGCAGGTTGCTCCAAGCCCCTGTGTCCAACCTGGCCTTGAACACTGCCAGGGATGGGGCAGCCACAGCTTCTCTGGGCACCCTGTGCCAGCGCCTCAGCACCCTCACAGGGAAGAACTTCTGCCTTAGATCTAACCTGAACTTCCCCTGTTTCAGTTTGAACCCATCACCCCTTGTCCTATCACTACAGTCCGTGACAAAGAGTCCCTCTCCAGCATGACAAGGAGGAAGTGGTAAGAGAGTAAAAATAGTAGAAGTAGTAACCTTACTTCACCGTTGGGTTTGTGAGTAGCAAGGAACAACCAGCACCAAGTGAGTGAATCAGAGTTACTAATCCTTCCCTCTGCCTGAACCACAGCGTAACCACAAGGACTTAAATAAAACTCCAAACAACTCCTTTCTAAGGTGACAACACTCCTTCAAATCTCCAAACCCATTCCCATGTCCAATTATTCTCAGAAATGTGAGCAAGCAGGAAACACGCATCCACAGGGTGTGCCTGACCTAATTCTGCAGTCAGACACTCGACAACAAGATGTGTTTCTAACCTAACTGCATGCAACCAAGAAAAGCTTAAAATTCCTTTAATTTCTGTTGTGGTTTAACTCCAGATGGCAACTGAGCCCCACAGAGTCACTTGTTCATCCCCCAGTGGGATGGGGCAGAGAACTGGAGGGGAACTGGAAGATAAGGGGAATGGCTCTAACCTGCCAGAGGGGAGATTGAGATGAGCTCTGAGGCAGAAGCTCTTCCCTGGGAGGGTGCTGAGGCGCTGGCACAGGGTGTCCAGAGAAGCTGTGGCTGCCCCATCCCTGGCAGTGTTCAAGGCCAGGTTGGACACAGGGGCTTGGAGCAACCTGTTCCAGTGGAAGGTGTCACTGCCTGTGGCAGGGGTTGGAACTGGGTGAACTTAAGGTCCCTTCCAACCCAACTGAGTCTGGGCTTCTACAAATTCCATGGAAAACAGCAGGTTTGAAATTGCATGAATGAGGCTGGAGTCA